AAATAGGAGTTGGCTAGTTTGGACAGGTGCGCTTCGTACTCTGGAGTGTCGACGTTGAGCATGTCTTTGTTTCCATCGGGGTTGCTTTCCTTCTCTTCCCTCTCCTCAACTGAGTTGCTGTTCTCCCCCCTTGACTCTTTTTTTTTTTTTTTTCCTTTTCTTCTTCCTCCTCTCGTCTTGGTCATCTTCCACGTCATCCCCGTCGTCGTGCCCAGGGGAACTGGGGGACAGGGCTTCCTCACTGGGGGGCTGCAGCTGCACGTGGGGTTGGCCTCTGCTCGGGGCGTCCTCTTCGCCCCCTCCATCTGCGCCACTTCCACCCGATTGGCTGCTTCTTGCACCCGATTGGCCGCTGCCCCCATCTGAGGGGTCCAGGGTATCCTGACCGAGCATGTACAGGGGGGGACTCATCCTGAGGCCGTCCGCGCCCTCCTGCTGGGAAGCGCGCACCGTAATTAACATGTTGGTGTCTCTTTTTTTTTTAGCAAGAATGAACTTTTTTTTCTTCCTCTTTATGAGCGTTATATGTTTCATGTGGATGCTGTTCGCAGTGTTCTGCTTCTCTAGAGAGGAGATGTAACCAAGCCCTTTGTCATGCAGAGGGTTCTTCTTTATCACCCCACCACTTTTCTTGAAGAGCGCATGCAGTAGATCCAGTACACTACAATAGAGTAGAGCTAAGCCAATGTACATCCTCTTCATTTTTCTTAAGAGGGTCAACAAAGGAGTGGAAGTCCTGATATGTCCTCCATTCTACGCAGTTCCGTTGAGCGAGCCAGTGTGTTTTGTTTTGTGACCCGGGTTGTGTGGGGTGTTTAAGTCCTGTGGCATGTTGCACCAGCTTGAGGCATTAGCCAGGACGTACTAACGAAGCAAGGAGCATACAAGCAGCAACATGTTTGCATTACCACAGGAGAGAGATCACCCCATCGGGTTTTCCTTTTTCCGCGGGGTCCTTTTTACAATGTGTACATTCTGCTACACTTTACACAGTCGGCGTCACAGCCAGTCAGCTAATCGTTTTGCTTATCTTTTTTTTTTTTTTTTTTTTTTTTATGCCCACTTACGAGAGTATAACAAACGGCACAGAGGAGGAAACGACCAAATTGTCAATTCGCTTCTACCCGTTGCAGGTGTATATACGCGAGGAGCAACTGCATGGACGGAGATAAATCAACCCTTTGCCAACGTGAACGCGAACGAGAACGTGAACGATAAAGCGAACAAGTAGAGAATGGGTCAGCAAAAATGTGTCATTTGACGGAAAAGCACAAAGTAAAACTGTTAGGTAAAACCGCAAGGTAACACGCTGCGCAGAAGAGCAAAAAGGGCATAGCAAATCTCATACTCGACTTCTCTCTCCCCCCCTACGTGCGCCAAAATGAAGAAGGCCGCGTTCTTCTCCACGCTCAAGTACGTCCGGGTCCCCTCCCCGCTGACCGTGAACAGGAACATGAGACGAGTGAGTTACACGAAGGGCGAGCGGCGAGGCGCGCCGTGACCGCGTTGCTAAACTTCCCCAAGAGGGGCCTGCAAAAAACGGTTGGCCCGCACGAGCCTCAGCACGTGAACATATTCGTCTGCAGATATGCATGAAAATGTTCGCGTATATATGTGCATGAGAGTACACCCCTGTCTCGCTTTCCCCCACCCCCAGTTCAACATGGCCGAAAACGACCGGAAGATCTTCTTCTCCTTTAACCTGTTTTCCGTCTTTCTGTTCACGCTGCCAATAGTTTACCTGGCCAAGGTAAGCCAAAATATGCCAACAGCTAGCTGCAAGTCGGGAAGACCTGCACCAACTCGATTATGTGTGCCACCCACCAGTAGGGAAGCAATTACACAAAGTGGCGAACGCATGCCACACACATAGGGACAGTCCAGACAATTTTCTGTGTCACCCCCGGTGCGGCCCAAGTGTGCATTTCTGTGCCCTACAGTTGGTGAAGTGGCTAGCTTTTTTTTTTTTTTTTTTTTTTTTTTTTTTCTCCCCACCAGAAGCAACAGGGTATCCAGCTGGCCCAGAGGACTGCAAGCACGCGTGCTGTATGTCGAGTCGTTCCTGCGGGTGTAAAGGTGGTAGGGGACGGCAGGAGGATGACATGTGTCAATTGGTAAACGGTGCATATATAGAACTAGGTGGGTTGATTCATACACACATAAAAAAACATGTACAGATGCATACAGGTATATATATATTTTTTTTTTCGTTATGTTCGCGGGCAGAGAGGGACCTTGCCCAACACTCGTGGCGTATCTTACTTGGAGTCAGGCAGGGGCTCTGGTTGCCCCTCCCCGTGGCACAGGGTCATGACCTCCCCATCATTCCTTAAGCTGTAGTAAAGGCAGTCCCGCTTCATACCCCCGACGCGCCTACACTTGTTCCACTCACGCAAAACGCACACATCGGGAAACAAAGATGTGCTAATGCACCTGCTGACCCCCATGACTGACGCCTTCTCCCGAGAGACATATTTTCTAATCGTCGCCTGGACAGAAGGATTCAACGTGACGAAACTTTTGTAGTACTCCTGCTTGTAAAAGTAGCTCAGATTCATGTTAAAGATTCCGTAGTAGCTGTACGGAAGGACATCTTCATCCTCTTCATTTGCCCCTTCCTGGGTCTTCCCTTCCTCCCTCTTTAATGACTGCCTGTATGAGAATTTCCTAATTGCCCAGGGGCCGTGGCGAAAGAGCTCCCCCCCAGTGGAGGATCCCCCCTCATGCCCGCCATTCGTCAAGACATATATTTCCCCCCGTGGGGAAAATATGTAGAAGGCGCACTGGCGAGGCGCTTCACGTGATTCACGCGATAGACGCGATTCTGCTTCGTGGAGGTCGTTCCCCACTTGGTCACTCGGTCCTCCCAACTGTGCACACGTATGAGAATCGCCTGACCCGTTCAGGCAAATCCGAGTATTCTTCTGCTGCCAACTATTGTTTCGCTCCCCGCCCGACCCAAACAACTCATCAACAACCAAGCCGTGCTTCAGATCGTGCGACAATTTCCCCAGGTGCTCGTCACACACGTGGCTAAAGACTTCAAAGCATATCAGGTTGAACACCACTTTCAAATATTTGTACTCATACTCCCGTGCACACACCTCTGCACAAGGTATATCGTAACGCTGTACTTGTACTAGACTCAAAAGACAAGCTCCGTGAATAATTACATGGGTATTGTTAATTACAGACATTTTTATTGTGCTGAGGTAGTTTTCCACGTCTTTTTTTTTTCTCTCTTCATGTTGTTCCCCTGGGGAAACTTCCTCCCCCCCCTCTTTCCTTCCCCCGGGGAATCTCCTCACCGCTTCTATTGAACCAGTAAGAACAGACTCGCCACAAAAATTTAAAAAGAAATTCCAAAACTGCTCATTGTTGATAACGTTACTGATGTTAATTCTCGTTGTGTAATTATAAATTGGCTTCGAGAAATAATTTACGAAGGTCACCAATAAGTAATGATCCTTTCTTACGTGTACATAGGACAAACACATGAACTGGCTAAGGCTCGTGGGGAGGAAAGTAATCTTTAGCATTTTAAATGAAGGGTTTGTGTACATCTCCCTCTCCAGATATTCTTCTTTATTTATTCTCTTCAACAACGTATACTCTTCTTTCCTTTTTCTCGTCTTTCCCCTGCATTGTCCTCCCTCCTCCATCACTTCGCCCCCCCCTGGTGCCTTCCCGAGACAACTCAACACATACACATTTTTGTACATATGCATGAACATCTTAAGATTTTCTTCGCTGAAGAGTTCACCTCGTTCAGTTCCTTTCCTAGTTGCTGCTCCCATTGATGATGGCCCTCCAAATTTCCTACTCCGATGCAACTGTGGCAGGTACGTGCTGGGCACATCCTCGCTGCCCTTCTTCATTAACTCGATCTTCTTTTTTAAGAAGCTCTTAATGGAGTCCAATGTCGGGTAGGTAAAGATACGCACTGATAAATCGGCGCCCACCGCTAGGAATATGTTTTTGTACACAGGGTGCTGGCTGCTGCAATGGATTGGGGGAGGAGGCATGTGGCTGTCGTTCTCGAACTGTGTAAGGGGGGTTTCCCCTCCCCAAGGAACCTTCTTCACTGTGACGGAGTCATAATCGGGGAGATACTTTTTGCTCATCCGCTCAAAGGAGTAAGAGATGATGTACAGGTGCAGCTGCTTCTCTCGGAACACCACGACCCAGTCGATGTTGTTATACACGTGATGGTAATTGTCCGGGGTGGCCACAAATATTTCTGGTGCCACGTGGTGGAGGCAGTTGGTACGTGCGTCTTGGCAAGGGGGGGAGGACAAGGTCGGCGCGAAGCCTTTCTCATTTCCTTCCTCATTGCCTTCTTTAGTGACTTCCGTAGTGACTGCCGTAGTGACTGCTGCTTGACCTCCCCCTGCACCAACCTTTGAACGGACTGCTCTGCCGAAGGAGGTACGCCTCTTGACCGCCCGCACCTGCTTGAAGAACCCCCCGTACGCCTTGCGCGCCAACACCCTCTGCAGTCGACGCACGTTGTACCCCAGGGTCCTCTTCACACTCATCACCGTTTTGAATATTAAGTAAATTTTATACATATAATCGCACGCCATTTCCTTCATCCTTTTTTTTTTATTCAAGTAGGTCCTGTAGTACGTGTTCATCCAGTTGTATATTTGTACCACCAACACGGACCTCCTAAATCGCATTTCTCGTATTTCTTTGAAGATTTTTTCTTTTCTTTCCTCCATCAGGGGAAGAAGACTGCTGATCTGATCAAAGTCACCACCATACAAATACCCATGCACATCTGTATACATACTTGAACCCATAAAAATATAATGGGTTCCTAATTTGAAGGTATTTTTTTCTCCAAACAATCTCATGAAATAATAAACAACATCATCATCTCTACAATGTTTCATGTTGTTCGGAATGTCCCTCACGCATCTGTTTAGCAATTCTCCCTTCAGCACCTTGTGAGACAAGCCTCTATTCACAACCTTTACCATTTCAATCGCTCCACACTGTTTCAACTGAGTGTAAATCAATCTCCTCTTGAAGGTATCTCTCTTCATTTGTTCGTTTGGTAATATACACCTAATGTAATGTAGATCCGTATTCTCCATATTGGAGAATAATTTATCTAACTCCTTTATATACTTTTTACTTACACTCAGGACATTTTTGTTGCAGATGGTGTGACTGCTGTCTGTGGTGGGTACTGCTACTAGTCCTCCTCCTCCTCCGCCTCCCCCCCGCTTTGCAGAGGCCAAGAAACAGTTCGCGTCACTTGGTACATTACCTACTCTTCGCTGGGCTGTTTGGCCATGCCCATTTTGTAATTTGCTCAGATTTCCTTCTCCGTGACCGGGGGCTGCGCCTGGTTCCTCTTCACCGCGTGTACTCGTCGATGCCCCCCCGCCAAGGAACCAGTTGCCCGACTGGGCAATCAACTCCTGTATCTCCACCTCAACCCGGTCGCTGTTCTTCTTTATCCAATCGTTCACCGTGTAAGCCACACACCCCGCGTAGTGCCTCACAAAGAACACGTTCCTCTTCACACCGTGCCTTCTACCTGTGAGGGACCCGTCCTTGCTGCTAACAAAGCCGTATGTACCCTTCTCCAGGTAACTCTTCTCATTATTTAAAAGATAAGAAAAGAAATTTTCATCCCCTTTCTTCTGCCCAGAGCTATTCAGCTTCGTGATATCATCTAGATTAGAAAATAATTTTTCAACCAAAAGGATTGTGTCTTTATAATTAGGAATAGAAATTTCAGTCCACAGGATATTTTCCTCCTTATAAATTTGCTTTTCTTTTTCTACTTCATTCATAATGTAATAATTGTTTAATTTTTCATTGGCCAGATTGATACACAGCTGCTCAAAGTCGTTGGAAGCTAGATCCTCAAACCCGTATAGGTCCAAAATGGAAATGATATGATTATTCTTCGCATACACAGACTCATTCATAATCTCTTCTATCTCTTTCGAAGACAAATGAATCCTATTTATGTCGCTCACGACTTTGTTAAATACATTTTTGTATATCACCTTTATCAAGCTATGCAGAGTGTACATTGAATTGTCTCTACTCCGACGGGTCCTGATCCTTTCCCCCGAGACGTGAATACATTTAAACTTTATCATGCTTTGTAGATCAGCAATGGGCAAGCGCAAACAGGCACATGCATTTTTGTAGCTGTGACTACTCGACTCATCGCGCTCCTCATTGTGCAGTGAATCACCTTCTCCTTCCACACCCGTATCAATCTCCCCCAAGTGAATAACCCCAGCGATGACATCCACAAGCTCATTTATCCTCCCCTCATCGTACTGTATATACCTCAGGCCTTCCATCAAGTGTTGAAAATTTTTTTCATCTTTCTGCTCTTCCTCAAGGGCAGATTCACCTGTACCACTGTCCCCCCCCTGGCTACCACACGTGAGAAGCCTATACCGATGAACATCTCTCACCAGTCCCCTCTCACTCAACTGCGCATCTGTCAACCCCCTAATGACTTGGTAAAAAATGTGAAAATTCCTTTCCCCCTTGTTGTGACTAATGCACCGATTGAGTTCCAGCAGGAGGATTAAAATCTTAATGTTGGAGAAGCAATAATTAAAAATGGTTTCATCTGTCTTCTTCCTTTCCTCAAACACCAAATCGTTGATCCGTCCGCACCTGCTGCTATTATTGTTCTTGATCGTCTTGGCGTTACTCATGGCCTCGATGATGCTGTTAATGTATATTAGTTTGTCTAGCCGTTGGCGGTTTGCATCTCCGCTCACATCATCCGGGTGAAGGTCTTCTGAAGGGCATCCACGGGAATATGTGTGACGGAGCAGTGTTGCATCTTTTTCCGCTTCGTCCTCTCCCACCCCACCCCCTCCATTCTTGTGGAAGAAAATGTAATGGAAATACTTGAAGAGAATTTTACAATTTTCCGTTTTCCCACTTCCGCTATGCCCCGACACGACGATGGTTTGTCTCTTCTTCTTCAGCACCATATTCTTGTAGGCCATGTTGCCGATGTCGTAGATGTGCGCTTGGTTTGCGGAATTTCCCTCGTCGTGCGAAGAGGCGCTCCTGTCTTCGAAGCACTCATCAGTCCTACCACCCCCGCCGCTATGCTTATCACTGAGGTTGTTGCCCCTGCCTCTTCCCAAGCACCCCATCCCAAACTTGTTCAAGTATCGGTTCATACTCTTCATTCCGTAGAGCCCCTTGATTTGCTTGTACGGGTTGATGGCCAAGAGGAGGGACACATGAAATGTGTATATCTTATTTTTCGCATATCGGTTTTTTAAATTTTCTATCACGTTGGGCTCATTCAGTTGTATAATGTCGACGTTGTTTTCGCTGTCCAGATGAATGTGCTCCTTCAGGCACGGGGTGACATTCTCTTTGGGGACATTCTCCAGGGTCTCTCCTTTTCCTACAAGGCAGGCGCGCGCAAAATATGTGTCAAATGAATTGGAAGGTCGAATGCGGGGAAAGCTACTCCTCCCCCATTCGTATACTTATTTTATAGTAGCGCCAACAAATTAACATGTAACTGCGACGGCGCTCTAATCTTTTTTATCTAACTCTTAAGGGTGTAAGACTTTCCCGACTCGCTGAATCCGCACACCTCCATCTTCTTATACATGTTGTTGTAGAAGCACCACACATATTTGTCCGAGTGCACCTTCCCACTATCCTTTCTTTCATAAGATCCCTCTCGTTTCGAGGCACCTGCACTGTTCGTCGATCCCTTCCCCATCTCCTCCCCCACATTGGATATGTTCGAATAGTAAAACGTTTCATTGCTCTTAATATGTAGAGGAGACGCCATCTTAAAGTCAGATTTTTTTTTTTTTTTTTTCTCCACCTCAAGAGGGGGGGATTTTGCATTGATGTGAATCCCCCAGAGGTGGAAAGTCTTCCCAAAATGGTAAGCAGTTCGAAAGTGCCTCTTCGGACAGGTACATATGTAATATGTGTACGCATACGTTCTTGTGTGCTGTTCTGTCTGCGCCTCTGTCCACCGTTTGTGTCCCGTTCCTGTGCTTGTCTTCGCCACGCATAAAATATAAATCGTTATGGGCACGCTAAGTCTAACCACTCAACGGTTCACGCGACGATATCGTTTCTGCGAGACAAAATGGGGACAACAACCTTTGGATCGCTCACCCGTTCGATTGTTTCTCCCTTGGAGTGTTCGACAAATGGGACAAGATCCTCTGCCCCACCAGATGTTAGAATAAGCGAAAAATGCTTCTACTTGTAAGTACCAACGGGATGGACAAATGAGGACACTTCGTCACCTCCCTCGAGCTGAACACATCGCTCTCTGATCCTAAGGCCTATTTTGCGTAACTTTGTAAATACTATGATGAATGTCTCTCTCCCCCTTTTTATATCACACCTCGTTCGTGCGAGTTGATCCTTTTTTTTTTTTTTTTTGCTTCTCCGTTAGTGATAAACGGGAGCAGTAAGTATAGTAGTGGATTGTGCGCAATATGCCTTCGACTGCATTAGCACAAACTGGGGGTTTTCAAGAATACACCCATGTGGACAGTCAACGAGAAAAAAAAAAAAAAAAAATGCAGAATTATTCTTAGCTGCTCACGTTAACGCTAAGTTGGAGTCTTTTTCTTCCTTTGTGTGTTTTCCCAATTTCCCCCTTGTGCATATCTGGTGTGACACGATAATTTGGCATGCTTTGTGATTTTCTGTTTGGCGGCAGTCAATTGGACTTCCGTTCAGGGGGTAACATCAGCAAAGTGGAACACCCCAGCAGGAAGGAAAAAAAAAAATGCAAAAAAAAGACAAAAAAAAAGACAAAAAAAAAAACATACTACGCAGAACTACAAACTTAGCAACGTTGCAATGTCGATCCTCGTTTGTAAATTCAGAAAAGCGGAACACCCCAGGGCGGAAAAAAAAAATATATTCACTTAGACATTTACACATACGTATGTATGGCCAACCCTGCTGCTGTGTTTTTGCTTCACCAAATGTGCCACTTTTTTCCACACAGATTTGTACATATGTTTGCGCGGTTACCATTGCACACCGTGTTACCAATTTGTGTACCATGAAAAAAAAAAAAAAAAAAATGTGCTACATATGCTGCTTTTTTTATGAACGGTCCAGGTAAAAAGGGGATAAAAATAGCTATTTTTGCTGCTAATTTGCCTGACCGTTCATAAAAAAAAAAAAAAAAAAAAAAAAAAATAGCTATCCAAAGGGAAAAAAGGCGGCCCACTTCCCCAACAAAAGGAGAACACATAAAAATGGAGGGAGAAACAAAGTGCTAATTTTTTCGGCAATGATAAATTCTATCTTCAGTGAACTTAATATTTTTCCTTATCCTTTCCACATCTTCCACTTTGGACGGGTCATTCATGTCCTGCCAAAAGAGCATATGGAGAGGTGTGTTACACATCCCCCCCACCAAAAAAGAAAAAACCGTACATATGTAATTTGTCCATTTCATGCTGTACACACACACACGCTTTTGGGGGTGACGGGGTGCCCCTGTGATGGTTAATTCGTAAGTGTGTTTTGTTTCTCTCTCTGTGCTTGGCGAAAATATTTCTCAAGTTGGGTGGATGCGGAACAACTGTGGTTTGGCTACCTTCATATCGGACAGCTCCTGTTTGTACTTGGACAACCTGTCTTCCAAAATGGATAACTTCATGCTTCCCCGATTCTGCGCAATTTGCACACGCGCATTAGGGGAGAGAGTCCACATGAATAAGTTTTAGCACGGGAGACAAATGAGAAGTGTTTTTCGGACACGCGGGATTACTTACTTGACCGTTTTCCCCCTCTGAAGGCTTCGCGAGTTTAAATTTTCGCTCAGCTGGGTCTTCTGAAAAATGAGCAAACAAGGAACGATATATGTAAAGATGATATATCCTATGGGGGACATTTTTTTTGTTGTGCTGTGGTGGCTCCTTTATGCCCGAAGGGGGTAACCTGTGTGGGTGGGGAGTGCCTTATCTGCCTGGAGGGTGGGGGGAAGGGAGTAGAGCGATGGTGTCGCACGGGGCTTACTCCTCGTTCGCCTAGTGCGACATGCCGCTCGCAGGTGTGCTGCCTTTCTTTTCTTATTTTACCACTCGGCGCAATGCAGAGTGCGCCAATTCCTGCCCCTTCTCCGAGGAGACGTAAGCTATTTCGTCACACGCGCATTCAATGTTAAGTATCTTCCCCTTGGACAAGAAGAACGAATTGTTCATGGACACCTCCGTGTGCTGATCCCACGGATAGCTATTGTAAAAATTAAACACATTCATCTCATCTTCAATTATGCTTTTATTAAACTGTTCCATTTGTTCATTGTCGTGGTATATCATTTCATTTTTGTTGGTTATATTTTGTGGCTTGTATTGGTACTCCTCTTCTGTTTCTTTCATTTGGCTTCTTTCCTGTGAGGGGGGGGTACCCCAGCTGTGGATGAAGCATGAAGAACTAACATTTTGAAGAGGACACCGGAGGGGAATACGCGCTGTGCAATTACCTTCCTGATGGCACAGATAACTCCTTTGTATGTGCTCTCGATGTCTTCAAAGAGGCTTCGTTCCTCCTCCAGCAGATATAAGGTCTGGGGGAGGAGCAGAAGCGCGGGTACAATTATATGGGGCTCACTTTTTCAGGTGTGTATTTCATAAATTTCTGCACACAATATCGGAGCAACTTTTTAACGACATCTCCCTCCCCTAAGCTTCACCCCCTGTCAACCCACTTACCTCCTTCTGAATAGGGTTCCCATAATTTACAAAATGCTTGTACACATAATTCTTCTTGTACGTCACTATTTCTTCGTTCTGAGGCATGTCGGTGTGTGCGTGTATGTATGTGCGTGTGTGCATGTGCGTGTGTATGTGTATGCATGTGGAGGGGGGAACATGGCAGACGGAAGGAAAGAGTTCGCTCGTCCTATGTACACCACACATATGTGTGTCCATTTCTTTCGTTTAAAAAAAAAATGACCCCTTGTCGCATGGCAAGTGTACCTCCTCCGTGTCACGGTTGTACCAAATGTGTTTTTCATACACCTCGAAGGTGTTACTTATCTCGTTGCAGTTGTTGTAGTACACGAGGATTATTTTGTTCTCTGGGATGAGGAATATTTTCTTTTTGATTCCGTTGTGGCGTCGCTTTAGGGGTGGGCAAGGAATGGGGTTAGGTAGAAGCGTCCACGTTGACACGCATACAAGGCGCACATGATATAGTGCACACGAGAGGGGCGTAGCATCCGCCCTCGTTCAAGCACTCCTTTAACCTCATCCTTATACTTCACAGTCATTTTTATCGCGTAGTACTCCTTCCCGTCGAACATCTGCCAAGGGGGAGGGTAAACGGGATGGTAAGCGGAAGGGTATGTGAAAGTGGGAAAGAACAATTCCTCTCTCAACAACCACCAAAACTGAAACTACCGACACGAACCTGCAACTTATAATTCGTTTTGACGCTCGGAGAAAGACACATCGATCGGTATGTCACTCTGGGGTGGAGGCAGGAAGGGGTGCAAAAAAAAAAATAATTTATTGTACAGACCAACACAGGGAAGTTTGCCCCATAAACGATGCAGACTGAACAACACATACTGGTCATTCCGGTTGGAAAAATATTCCATAAGTTTTGAGTCTGTTATCTGTGGTGAGTAGGCAGGACGGCGCGATTTGTGTGTGGGGGCAGGGGTCATCATTGTCCTTTTTGGCTACTCCGTTGATGGCCACTTATATTTGGTCGATCTGCTTTTTATTCTTCCTCCTGTTAACCTCTAGGTAGTGGATCAGTCCATCGGGTCTGGGGTGGCACAAGAGGGGGGGGGGAGAGCGGGATCCTTGTGGGGACACAGTCGATGTGCAGTTTGGCGACTTTTTCGCGGTACGCACAGTGCAGTGTGATTACCTATTTGGGTAGAAGGAGAAGTGGGAGTAGAACCCTATGCTCTGCAGGGGGGTGGGATGTTAAAATGGGGGACACTCGTGAAGGTTCCTCTCGCAGGGCTTTCCATTTGTCTCTTTTGTTGTCATGGCGTACTTCTCTGAGGGCCCTCAAAAAGTGATGACCAGAACTATCGTAATATTCAACTGTTTTAAATTTTTGTGGAAAGTACAGCTTGGCTTTTTTCCCGTCTCTGTGCATGGGGTGTGTGAGGAAATATCACAGTGTAACTGTTTGCATGAGGGGTTAGGGTTTTTCCGTGTGACGCGAGTCCTCCAAGGGGGGAGTGATATGAAGATGTAGGGGTGCCGGTGGCAACCTGTGGAGGGATCCACAATGAGCACCTTTCCTCACCTTCTATATTTGAACAGGCAACAGACTGATTCAACGTTGGTGTAAAATTTATTTCCAAAGTGTGTGTGCATCTCTGTCAGTCCGTCGTGCTGCAAAGGAGGGGGGAAAAAACAAATCCTACCGTAGAGACAGCCACACAGATGCTCATGCAGCAGTATTGGTGTGGAGACACGCATCGCTTCACCGTGACGGCGAGACAAACGGACCTGAAGAAAGTCCCCGTACTGGTCCCTCTTACAGTTCTTGTAAAAGGTCGTGTTGCTTCCTGCAGGGGTGGGGAGACAAAAGCATATTCCTCGTAAGCAGCTTAAGTCCACTTCGCCAGGGGGGAGAATTCAAACGATTCGAGGGACGAAGAGACGGAAAGACAGGGGAGGGTACCTTGCGGGTACTTCAAAAGAAACCTGTCCTTCCTAATTTTGTACAGGCGATTATCGATGATGGGGGTGAGGGCCTTCCAGGTGGGAGGAAAGAGGACGGCAGCAGGTGCATGGTGTAGCCACAGGGATATGTATTTCAGTAAACGCGTATGTATACCCATATGTATTAGCACACACGCGTTGTTGCACACTCCACCGGTGGCAGACTCCCCTTGGGAAACGACCACCCTACCTTAGCCCTTATGTGGTCGTAGAAGGCCGGAACAAAATACTCCTTGTTTTGCAGCTCCGAAACTAACGTGGCGACTTGCTCCGTTTTGCGAATATTTACCTGACCGGTCAGGTGGAGGGGAAGCAGTTACGAAGAGGAGCAGTTAACACGGGGAGATCGCGACTCCACATGAGCCCATGCAGACACATCTGCGTAGGTGCACTCCTCTTTGGTTCCCCCTTACGTAAATGTTCTTGTCGTTCCACAGGTAAAATATAGACCTATATGGGCAGTCGTTTACGTCGTATTCCCTGCCTGTGGGGTGTGTGTGTGTGGGTGCCAACCAATAGGTTCGTTCGCTGGTCGTAAAAGAAAGAGTTCACCATTTGGAAAATTTCTCCCACGTGTGTTTCTTGTCCACTGATGACAACCAACCTGAACCCATTTCTATGAACACGTCTTTTTTTACATCTAAGCTTTTTTTTATGAGTATCCACATGTGAAGGTAGAAATCCTTCTCGTCATTGGATCCTTCGTCTTCGAATTTGCGTTCCCCTGCCTGGGACAATTTTTCGCGCGTGAAGTGGAGGGTGCATCGACAGTCACGTCCATAGGCACACCGTGTTTGTGCATTTGATGAGCGCAAGGGGGATGAGGGGAGGGGAAGCTAATTGCCTCCTCTGTTCTCCCTCCCCCCCTTCACACCTTCTTTAGAGGGCCCCTTTTTTGTGTACCACTCTCATGCCGATATTCATGAGTTTCCTATACTTCGCCTTCTTCCCCTTTATGTCCAACACCTCAGCTGCATCCTCCTGCGCAGATCGTGGGGGGGGGCGGGTATGTGCAACCTCTTGTGAGACGTCCTCACTTTTTTTTTTTTTTTTTTTTTTTTTTTTTTTTTTTTTTTT